TGTTGCGCTGATCTGTGATGTTCAGTGGATAGCAGTTTCACAGAGGGCAACAATTCAGGACTTCGGGTGTGCACACTGGGATTTGGCTGTGCTCCTACTGCCCAAAGGCAAAATTTATTCTGTTACACTCTCACACAAAGACATTTGTGGCATCTCTTGGAATCAACTAAATTCCTCATAGTTAAATGAAGGACTTGCTGGCTGCACCTCTTGTCTCTCTCTCTCCATGAATGGGAAAAACACAAGCTAGAGGTGAGATCTTTTGTCAGTGAAGGGGCTACTTGCTGGTTGAGTTTGAGAAGCAGACTGCGCTGTTCTGGTTGCATCCTGTATGCACCCATCCCTCTTTGCAAAGGGAAGGCTGGGTGTCTTTAGGAGGGAAGTTACTGCACCAAAATTCCCACCTGAAAGAACCGAGGCATTTGCTTTTGCCAGAAATCTTTCTGAATTCTGACAGCCTAGCAAGGAAATTGTTTTCATAAATTTGCCATTATTAGCAGTGTGTTATGACTACTGCATTTTTTGTTGCTGTTGTTTCTGAGCTCACAGGCAGCAAACAGCCGGGCACTCTGGAAGCTGGAGGGGTAATTTATTCACAGAAGAGATGGCACTCGAACAGTGCCCCTTACCAGAGTTTTCTAGCCATGCAGCTGCCATGGGCCTCAGTGGGAAGTTGAGTCTCTGGGTGCCCTCCAGCCTTAGGTTCTGCTGCTGCACCTGCAAAACAAGAGCTTAATTAGTGTTAATTATAACAGCAGTTCACTAGGAACCGGCCTAAGACACTTGCGAGTAATCCAGAAGTTAAAAGAGAGACACGACTTGGGATGTGTGTTGGCTGGTGCAAATCCGGGTGAGGCAGTAGCCCCACGTAGCTGGGAGAAGAGCTCTCTCTCTGCCTGGGTTGTCATTAGCTTCTCATTATCATATCAAAGGGAATGGCAAGCAGACTCCTCCACACATGCTTCACAGAAGCGGGGGAGTTGGGATTTATTGCAGAAACTTTTCCTTCCCCTTGTCTGCCTCTGTTCCCACTTTCCAAATTTCATTTTGAGTCTGGGGTTTGAAGAAGCCCCAAAACACCAAAGGAAGTCAAGACGGAGTGGGTGACTGTCACATCTAGAATCTCAGAGCTTTACTTGAAAGCTCAGCTCAAGTTCAGTCGAGTGCACTGGGGAAGAGTGGAGGTGGATGAGACAATCTTAGAAGCTGCTTCCAGCACTTGCTCTTACAACTCTGTTTTCTTCTAGTGGGATGGTAAGTTAATGGTTGACAAACAGGAAGAGACATCTCTCATTCCAGAGATCAAATTGCACAACAAATTAAAATGCTCCCTGGAGGCACTGTTGCTCCCTCTCCTCTGGATACTTGTAAAGCCGAAGACAGCCTCCACTGATCCCAGAGCAAGCTACAGATTCTGTCACTGGTGCTCAGACTGAAGACTGTCCCTTTGGGTAATAAATGTCATGGGCCAGTCTGTGCTCATCAAGGGGGGGTTGCTCATTTAGGTGCAGTGAAAGCTCAGGGAAATGGAGGTTACTCTCCATTTGGTTCATGAAAGCTCAAACGTTGTACTGCCTTGCCGCATTCTATAGGAATCAGCAAAAATCCAAACTGTTTTGTGGAAGCTTTTTATAAACATAATGTCCTCAGAGAGCTATTTCGTTATAGCAAAATGAGATTAAAGTTTGCTCTTCCACATCTTGTTCTGTTTGCAAATCCAGGAGCTAAACATTTCACAGTTGCCATAATTTCACCCCTGTAAATAGCCCTGTACATCCTTTGAACAGTGAAGCACAGCTGTTGGAGCTTGTGAGCACCCCCAGGAAAATCAGGATGTTGCACTGAAGTGAAATTTGTATCTACATGCTCCTGGAATTAGATCATTCATCCCATTCTAACATAAGGGACCAATTTAGATGCCTTCTGATGCTACCTGTCTCTGCATCAGTTAGAAAGGAAATAGCGTGGCTGTTTAGTCTCTCAGTGGCGTTGCCTGAGGTGGATCCCATCCCAAACACTGCAAGAACTCCAGAAAGCAGTCCCTCTACATTTCCTTGGTTACATACTAGCCCGAGAGTATACCCAAACTGTACTGACATTTGGCATTAAATCTGCCCTGCTGCAGCAAGCTGATAGCTGGAGTTCTTCGACATATTTCAAACTTGTGAGGCCACTGACAACTTTTTAACCACCTTAGCAAAGGCACGCTGATGTCACTGACTGACAGAAGTGTGGCTTCCGGCTGAAAATCTGTTTTTCTTGTCTGTAATCAGTATGAATGGGAAGATGTCAATTGAAATAATACGTGAAACAATACACTCGTTTACAGTGCAGGAGTAAGGAAGCAGAAGTCTTCCAAGATGTATGCACTCCTATGGACGCATGCATGAGGTGCTGCCTTTCTGGTGATTAAATAAATGGCTCCTAAAATGCCTTTAACATTGACTGAAGTATGAGGTACCTCCCAAGTGCCCTCTTTTCTTTGGCTTCTGCTGTGCTTCCAGCCAGGTCTGGTGCCCCAGGCAGCAACGCACAAAGGCACTCGGAGCGTGTGCTGGGATGGCTGTGCAGGATGCTGGGCGGCATCTGCAGATCCGTGCTGGGATCCCAGCCTCTCCTCTGAGCTCACATCTGGACAGAGGTGTGAGCCCAGCACTGTGTCGTTGCGTGAGGCATTGGCAGGGCTGTGGCAAAGGGAGAAGAGTGTCAGAATTAAATGTCTGCTCATGAATGGACAAATCTCATTAGCGGAGAGGTCTCTTTTTTCCAGATGAATAATAGATGAGAGATGTAGGGGAAACGGGGTTTTCTGCAGCCTCACGGATTAGTGGGCGCTGTAAAAATCCAGACTCGGCTTTAAACCCTCCCTGTGCCCCACTTTTGTCAGGGTTTGTGGGGAAATCGGTGGAAGGATGAGGTGCCAGCAGATGGCAGTGCCTGGTAGCAGAGTTTCACTCGTGTCAGAAGAAATGGGAGTCTGCTCCAAACATGCAAAGGTTTTTATTTACCTTGCACGAAACACGGTGCCATTTCTCGCCTGCAAGCGATGCAGTGGTGTAGCTCAAGGTGGGCAAACGCTCAGCACAGAAATTCCCATACTGGGAGCCCACTGCTCGGCACATCTGCAAGCTCCCAGTCTACCCAGAGCCTGTCCTCCACTGGGTTCGGAGTTGGGATGCCCTGGATAAGCTGGAACGAAGGCTTCTAACATTGACCATGCCACCCTCAGCTTTGCAGCCTTGCAGAGACTCTCTTCCTCCAGAGCTGCTGGCCGGGCAGTTTTTCCTAGCATAAAAATTCATTCAGAATCTTATTAAAAGAGATTAAATGAAAGAAGCAGAGCTGATGCCTTTATGAAGGTGACACTGTTCTTCGTGCTGGTGAAGCGGCATCCAGGGACTTAACCTGCTCTGAAAGCCAATGATATGATTTTAGGAGGGGCTGACTCTGATGCTGTATGAATTACTGTTCAGTACTTTTTAAATAAGTTTGAACGCTTATTAAAAAACCAAAACAACACTGTTAACGTACCCCCCAAGTAGCACTTCTATAAGGAAACTTCATGTATCCTAGACGTACCCCTAAAAGGTAAAATAAATATTGCTGAAAAGGGCATTCCTGACAGTTACGAGCAGGCAGAAGATCTAACATCATTTCATAGGATTTCATCAACAGTTTGTTGCCATGCCTTTTGCTTTCATTGACTGCTGATTTGAATGTAGCCCTCTGGGCTGTTTGCAGCCTAGATGGGGCAGCACTGTGCTAATGCTTACGAAACAGGAGCCGAACTGGCCAGTCTGATCTCACTGCCCATACTGCAGTGAAGTGGGAAATATAAATTAACAACAAGTGGGAAAGCAAAATTACCTCTACAAAACTAATTTTTAATGGCCCCAGTGCTTGGTCTGGCTCCAGATCCCTATCCATCTGGCCAGATCCAAGCTCCACCTACACATCAGAGAACAGCCGATAAAAAGTGCTGTGTGGATAGAGACGGGCTTTCTCAACCCAGCCCCCTGTGCAATATGACTATTTAGGATATAACAGGCTGTGGTTATTTCCCTTTTTTTAGCGTGTCTGTCTTTGAATTTTTCCAGTCTAGCTTCCCTAATAAATTGTTACATATCCTAGAGTTAAGATGGTTAGGAATCAGATTTTCTGTTCTACAGGATGTTTCACTAGTTCAATATTTTTCCTGTTCCAAAACAAGAATGCAAATAATAAGTTACCGAATGTCCATACAGTGAAATAAAAATGTCATTCCAATACTGCTATATTTCATTAGCAGTAACTTTACAAAAATTTTTTAAAACTGAAAGTAATTCAAAGAACATGGAAAAAATAGCCTTCAGATTCCGGCAATACTGACACATTCCTGTACAGTGCATGGGTTTTGACAAGTTCTCTTTTCCTGACCAGCAAATCTTCTGTGAAAGCATTTCCAATGGGCTGTAATATGTGGTCCTGGAATAGAGAATGAGGGAGGACAGGGGGACAGGATTAGGGGATCAGGGCAACAAAGCCTGAAGGTAACCCGTAGTCACCAGGCAGATCTCTCTCATATATGCAGCTGCCCTGACATTTGCTTTTCAGAAGAGGAAATATTTTACTAAGCTAGGGAGACAGTGTGGTATTATCAATGATAAAAAAAAAAAAAAAAAAAAAAAAAAAAAAAAAAAAAAGAGAGAGAGAAAAAAAATACAGCAAACCACTGGAGAGTTTTGAGAGTGTTCCCTGGGACAAGCTGGATCCCAGGCAAACACCACAACTCGGTCAGCAAACACCATTTCAGCAGCTTGGGGGTTGACAGGCACGGGAAGAGTACCAGAGGAATCATCCCTCTTTCTCCCCACTTTTCCCAAATTCCTTGAAGAGAGAGTTTCCACACTGCCGATGCCAGCGTGCACATGTGCTCCCTGTTAAATGGGCAGCTTCTGCCTTCTCCCCGCCCTCTTTTTTTTATTTTTTTTTATTTTTTTTTTTTTTTTTTTAGGGGACTGCTTTCTGTTTGCGTGATTTTAAAAGATGACTGCAGCCCCCCCTCCGGTAAAACCCGGCAGCCCATGCAGCGACCCGGGAGGAGGAGAAGCGAACACGCTCGAGGTGGGCGGCGGGGGGGACGCAGGGTGCCTGGCATTTTCCCAAGGCACTGCCAGACGCCTCTTTTCCCCCCTCCCCAGCCAGCCCTTTCTGTGCAAAGCGGCGGTTTAAACCCCTCCCTCTTGGCTTTCCCTCCCGCCACCCTTCCCAGTGCTGCTTATTCAGAACAGATGATGGTCCCCATCACATGCAGCCCCCTCCCCTCCGCCCCAGCCCTTTCAGAAGCTTTGTACCACCAAGAATTCATTTCTCGGGGGGAGAGCAGGAGCAAGGCAAGGCAGGCAGGCGTGTGACAGGCAAAAGTAGCTCTGCAGCAGTGGAGGGCGAGGGCTTGGAGCACCCTGTGCCAGCTCTGACCGAGCGAGGGAAATCAGGGATACCCAGGGACAGGGGCGTGTGCGCTTACATCTTCAGTGCCGCGTAAATGTTTTCTAATACCAGGCAGAGGGAAGAAGGAAGGAGCCAGCCCAGGGACCAGAAGACGACCCCGGCTCTCTGGTGATGGCATGGATCGGACACTTTTCCAGCAGCCGCTTTACCTACCTCTCAGTCCTGCCACTGTCCAGCGCCCCCGAAGTGCCACGGCACAAGACTGATGCAGAGCTGCTCTTAGCAAGTAAGTTACCTGATTTTATTTGCTTTTCCAATTCACTTTGCTTTCTTTTCTGGTTGCAAAGGATCAGGAGCCCAGAAGGCAGGAGGACAAGCGGCTGAGGTATAGGGTCAGCTAAACTCCAGATTTCTATGCCCAAACCTGCCAGGGTGCGAGCTAGAGATGTGCTGTTTGTCCAACTCACCAGCTGCTAGGAAACTCTTCGGGAAGCCAGGGATTAGATGTTGATCTTGGGCAGAAGTACTGTCAGATCCTGTAAAGGTGCTATGCAGGAAAAGACATTAAAAATTATGAACTGCTCAGGTACCAGATTAGTAGAGATCACTGGAATACAATGGGCAGGAGGAGACTGATCAGTAAGCAGCCCTGACATGTGTGGAGTGACTCCATAATCCTCACCTAGAGTCAAAGATTAAACTCTTTTATAATTAAGATACTTACTAGTCAGCTGAGGGTTTAATGAGCCCTTGCAGTGTAGTCTCCAGACGATGAAGTGGCATGTTCAGCCCTTGGAGGGGACAGGCAATTTAATGCATTGGGAATCCCCAGGGGTGGTTATGGCTCTGGGAGGTAAAGGCATAACTAAATTTTTTACTGACATCCTGTCAAAAAGGTTCCCTGTGTCCTCCTATTTGTATTAGCACATGCCAGTTGGGAGTGACATGCTAACTTTTATACAGCATGTCTTTCATTTGGTTTTGACCCAAGACCTTCAGGAACCAATCAAGAATTGGCAGAAACTGTCCCTGTCCCAAAAAGTTTATCATCTGACTGTCGGGGATTCTGTCATCAAGCAAGTCCTTTCTCCTGCACCCTTTTACTTTTAAGTAGACAACTACCTTGGATTTATAGTAGAGTAGCTCAAAGGGAAACAAAACTGCCATCTCTCACTAGTTCTCTGACCAATCCAAGCAACCAGTATCTTCTACAGTATGTGGGAAGTGTGTCTGGCAGTGTTTGTATTGGGGGACTTATTTAATTTCTGGGGTTCAGTTCTTTCCCCCACTGTTCCCACTCAGTTGGAGATCAGAGATCAGGATCACTTCTGGTTCCCATGAGAGAAAATTCTCCATCTCTGGAAGGTTCCAGACCAACTATTTACAGACTCTGAAAAAGGCAAACAGTTTTGGAGGCACGTTCTGAGACAAATCTCCGGACTGTTTTCTGTAAGAGTCTCCCACTTTCTATTCAGTTTGAGGTCAGGAGAGCCATTTGGGGTGAGCATTGGCACTTAACCACCACTTCGGAATTAGGTCGGTCAGTTTGTCTCTCTGTGACTCATCTTCTCTTGTCTGCACAGTGGGTTCAATAGCACTGCTGAACATCTTGGGGCAGAGAGAGTCTGTATTTGGTCAGTTCATCTTCAGACTGTTTGGATGCAAGTCACTGAAGAAGCGTGAGGTGGTATTAACATACTTCCATTTTTTTTTTTTTTTTTTAATCCAGCTGCATATTACATATCAATTCTCAGTTGCTATAATGCTGAAATGTCTAAACAGTGGGCAACAGGAATGTTAGTGCTCTTGGGGCAGGATTTTTTCTTAGAATTGACCTGCTTTTCCCAACATTCAGTGTGTGCTGTGTGTAAACAGCCAGTAACAGGGCAAACAGGAGTGTCTTACCAGGACAAAAGTGTCTCTTTGTTCAGTTGTGTTGGTTGAAAGATAACAGTCAAATTTTCAGTGACGCCATAAGGTGCCCCTAAAAATAGTCTGGGGTAAAAGGACAGAGACAAAGAGGCTGCAAAGTGCCTCAGGCAAAGTCACCTCCTTGGAGGTGGAAGGATCAAATTGGTTTATTTTTAGACTTTCTTTGTTGGTAAAGAAAATATCGTTTGACTGTTCAAAATGAAGAACCCCTGAGAGCATAATATTATGATTGCATCCTTTGCACATGGACTTTTTGTGCTCAACTTCTTTCATTCAGTGAAGTACATATGAGGTAACTGACTGAAAGTTACAGGGATTATATGCTCCCACCCACCCTATGCATTTGAACTGGGGGGTATCAGGTAGTAGATACCCCTTATGTTGTGGAAACTCCATGTTCTCCAGCCTTTGTTCTACAATAAATTGTTATAGCCTGTACACTGAGGTCATTATGATGTCTCATAAGGCATTTTCTAGTTTTTGTCTTTTTCCTGAAAGAAAACACCCACCCGAGTCTCTATTCTCATTACAGTTTAGCCTCTTCACTCTTTTCTGCATTGGTCTGAAGTCCTTATATTTAATGCAACTGCAAACTTGTGTTATGTATGGGATTTTTTTATACTTTAATGCATAGATGAGGAGGGGGGGGGAAATCTATTTGAAACCTGTAGCTACTTGAGAGAACAGAGACATTATTTCTTGCCACTAGAAATAATCTTGCTAGGTTATTCATGCTGATAGATCAGGCTACGTAAGCTTTTCAGAGTAATCTTTAGACACACCTGAAGCGGTTAGGGACTGTATTCACTACTGGATTGGTGAAAGGGGAAAAGAGTGGTGCAGTGGTTACAGGCACTCAGTTAGGATTTTGGAAACTCTAGGTTTAATTCCCCGCCCTGCCACAGACTCCCAGTGTGAGTGTAGAAGAAGTAAGTGTCTTTGTGGCTCGCTTCCCCACCTTGAAATATGGGAAATAGGGCACTTCCTTGTTCCACGGATCTTAATGAATACATAAAAATTTAAAGCATGTGATATCTGCGTTGAACACTGTGAAACATTTGGATACTCTGGGAATGGGGGGAGAAGGGTGTCACATTGCTACCTCACAACTGACAATGGAAGGGCTCGGGGAATATTAGAACTGTGTTTATCCAGCACTGCTGGGGAGAAGGATAGATTGGGAGGTAATTAGCAGATAAAAGTAAAGTGCAAATGTCTATAAACTCTGTCTTTGTGTCATATTAGCTTCCTACCCAGAGAGATTTTCTTACAAGGTATTTTCTTTTGAAAGACTGAACATCTTCTGTTTTGGTATTTCTGAGCCTAATGAACTCTAAGGAGACAGGTGCTGTCATCAGCCCAGCTCTGTAATGAGCACAAAGTCATCCTGCTTCTTTGGTAGCTGCCTAGTTAATCATCAGTCACCCTTTTTTGTGTACTGGTGGGTGGGTGTCTCCTCTAGCCCCAGAGGAACTCCGCTGTACGATAGTGCCTGTCAGCACGTTAGAAAAGCAGTGCTGCGACTTAATGAAAACTCGAGAGGAAATGAGAGGCATCTTCCTACTTCAGTGCTGAGTGAGATTACACTTTGAAAAGCAATTATTTGGATGAGGGAGCTTTTCAGCCACATGTTTATTAGTGACGTGTCATAGGTCTCCCTTCTCTTTAAATGTTTTGCCCTGCTTTTGAGTAGCATATCTCTCTTGCATCGCTCCCTCCACCTGTGGATCTCCAAGCACTTTCCAAAGAGGTAGCCACCACAATAGCTATTTGTAAGTCAGAAGACCAAAAGATGACGTGATTTGCATGAAATCCACCTGCCTTTCTTTTTCTTGCATGCATATGCATGCCTTGAAAGGTAATCTTGTGTTGGCATTGTTGGCTGTTCAGTCTCAGTCATACTCAGGCAGTAAATAAAAGGATAGTGGGAAAGTTTTTCCCACAATTTAATTCCAGAAGGAGAGTACGTGCTCCAGGGAAATGCGGGGGCAGTAACCTAGGCTCTGTCTTGTGTGGTGTAGGCTAACAGGCAGCAAAAGAACCAGGTCAGGTTTTTCAGTAATAATGTTTAGTATTTACTGCCATGTTGATCGCTTGTTGAGTAGTATAGGACACTTTGTCTGGGAAAAGAGAGGGCAGAATTGAGTAGAATCTTGATTTGGGAAGGTGCAGGGGGTTTACTAAAGAACAGTTGCTCGTTTATTCTCATAATGTAGGAAAATATGGGCATCAGGTTTAAAACAAACAAAAAGAAGTGTTTTTTTACACAAACTTGACGACAAGTTCACGTCTTCAAGCTCCTCCTGCCTGCCAGTTTAGACCTCTCCAGAAGCAAATCCTATCCCCACTGAAACATGCATTTATTAAACAAGATCAGTGGTTATTCAATTTGAAAAAGTCACCATGGTCAGCAGTGGAAAAAAATTTCTTGGTTTACCTTCAGCAATGTTTTCAGCAAATTTCTATCTTGGAGACTTGGAGCTCTCAGGATGCGCAGCAGGTCTGTTAGGCTGGGCTTGCAGAGAGCTCTGCAAAACGATGCCTCCTGAAGACACTTAGCTAACCCCAGCCTGACTCTTCTCCAGCAAATCTGAGCCCTAAATGTCACTGCCTGCCCCGAGTCTGCCGTCTGGGCAAAAGCTGAGCAACAGCAAGTCTGACAAAAAGCCTCTTTGCAAGGTTGATAATACACTGACTCACATCTCCTTTTGCAGTAGCCCGTCCAAAAGGAAAGCAGCTTTGTACAAAAGTGACATTTTTATTATCCTGGCCTCGTTTAACCAAAGATGGTAAATGCCAGTGAAACAGGACGGTGCATGTGACTATAAGAGGCAATTTCATCCCACAGATCTCTTTGCTGGAAGGAGCAGTGATTTACAAACTGAAGCCTACATCTCTGTGAGATGCTTGCATGTAATTACTGTTATCTGGAAGAGATGTGTATGCTTGATAGCACTGGCAGTATATTATAAGATGAAGGAGTTAACCAAATCCTTACATACATACTTTTATAGTATCTTGTCACTTGTGCTAAAGTTTCCCAGAGCAGTTAAAATAATAAGGGAATGATAGCAAATTTCCTAGAAGATTCTTGTGCCTAGCATCTCACAGACCACCATATCCGTATTACAAATTTTACAGGTAGAGAGTGAAGGCAGAGGGAGAAGCAGTGATTTGCTCAGAATTAGGGAAAAAATACTGAAATAATTTGGAGCAGAAAGCTGACTAGTCTTCAGACATCCAAACCTGCGCTCAAACTGCTAACCGATATTATTCCTGTTAAAGATTCTAATGCAAAGATTCTTTCTCTTAATTATTTTCGATAACCTTGTACTGAGGTTACGTTTATACTACAATGGGAGAGTTTAAGATTAAATATTGGGAGAAATTGTAATGCCACTGAAGCTGTCAGTAAAGTTCATATACAGCAGGAATTCTGCTTTAATGGACCACTTGTAAGGTGTTCCTGAAGGTTTCCAGAAAGATTTCACTTGACCTATTGTTAAAGATCAGTAGCATTAGAAAAGTGATGTTGCCAGTCCCTTGAGAGTTTTAGTTAAAGCAGATTTCCCTGTACTTTCATTAATGGGCAGTCCCTCTAGCCTGCTTCACCTGAGTGATATTTCTAGGGATTTAGGCTTTTTGATTGTTTTTCTTCTAGTCTGTTCTTTTTAATATGTTTCAAGATCCTTCTGGTCTCTTTGGTATGAAACTAAAATAGAAAACCTTACACTACAGATGAATGTATTGGAATTGATTGTTCTCTCTTACATAGTGTCAGTGTAAGTGAAACTCAGCTTCAAATATAACTTTTACAACAAAATTATCTTTAAATCAATTCTTTTTAAATTGAAAACATGCGACACTTGCCCGTTTTTCTACACACAGATTTATCAAAAGCTTTTTAGTCCAAATGGAGTCATTTTAGATTAATCAAACAATGCAGACAAAGATCAGCAGTGACATTCATAAGAAGAAAGCGAAGAGGTTCTTCTCTGTACCGAATTCTCTTTAGGTCAGTGGATGGGATGCTGCTTTTCCTATAAAAGAGGGGAAAACAAACAAAGTGTGTGATTGTTCTGACTTGAACTTGGCATATGCTTCCGCATGTTGTGAAGTGAGAGTTGGTATGTAACCTTATAATCTGACAGCATCTAGCAGACACTTTGCACTCACGTAAAGAGGCACGCACCGTAAGGCGGCAGAGAGCCAGACCAGTGGCCCAGGAGATTGGAATTTGCAACAAGTAGTAGAAAATGGCTGGAGAAGTATCTATATATACCGTGAGCCAGCTCTCAGGAGTCCTATCTTCAGAAATAGAGGTAGGGATTCATATTCTGCCTGAATCCTTGACGGTGCTGTGTGAGGAAGGGAACAGCACGGTGCCAGGCTTATCTGTCCCACGTCCAGGATCATATGCAGTGGGGGTAGCAAACCCAATTCCTCCTAATATACTATCCCAGCATCATTAATCCCTATTATTTACCCCTTCCTGTGGCTGCACTGGCTCAGCGCTGGCCCAAACCCTTCAAACCAGGCAAATCTGCCAGCACGAAGAAGCTTTGGGACTGCGCTGGGGACAGATGGCAGGGCTCCCTGGTGCACAGAGCCAGCGGGGACGGTTCCAGCAACAGGCTCTGGCTGCTTCATTGGAGTAATGATTGATGGTGACTTATACAAGGGCTAAGAGTAATTCTTTGCTGTTAACCAGACTTGGCTACAGCAGAATGGAAGTGGAAATTTGTTGCTTCATTTATTCATCCTGCCTCTGCTTCCTTCCCGCCCACCCTTTGTGCTTTTTAATACCGAGAAGATGAAGCTACTTTGCTCGATCTTAAAATTGTCTTTCCCAAGACACTCCTAATTGTATCTCTACACCTTTTCTCATTCACAGATGCATAAGAAGATTAAAGATAGAGGGAGCGGTAATAGATTTAGTTAAGTTTTAATAGGATTTGCAGAGGACAATGCAGAGAATGAGCGCCATAGAAAATATTGCTACTCTATCTTTGATATCCCTAGGGTTGCTTAGGTAGTCTTTCACAGAGATTTTGTCTGTGCCCTGCATTCAGAGTCAAGACTCCCATTTTTCAATAGAGGATGTGTGTTTTTTTTTTTAAAGGAGCATCTAATCATCTTGGTAAACAGGATGTTACATTATAACACGCAAAAATCATTGCAGCCATCATTTTGTATTATTTATTTGTATCTCGTTAAGCATAGTTTTGCATGTCAGCAGTGGGCTTTTTAATAGCTGTCTGTTACATTTCTAAAAGTGTCTGGTGTTTTTGTCTAATGTCAGATGAAGTAAAGGGGTGGGTCCTGATATATCTGATTAACAATAGGCCTGGACTCATCACACCTTCAGATGCATAATTCAAGATGCTAAATTAAAAGCCCATTTCCCATTTGGAGCCCAGGCTCCCAGAATAATATGTGGAGGGGGTGGGTACTTCCAGAAGGTGATTCAGCACTCCTGAAATCTGAATTATCCCTGGAGGTGCCTTTCTCTGCTGACTGTAAGGGAAACCTTCATGCATAATTTAGACTCATGTGAGATTTAGGTAGACAGTGGTGCTCAGCGTTTTCTATTGATTTCTGAGGTTTCTTTTGGTATGTACCCAGAACCTGAGGCATCAAAAAACTCCAGTCCCTCTTGAAAATATGTGTTGGTGTATTGATACTTTGGCCCTAGTTGTGATCTCAAGCAAATTTGGGGTGTAAAGAAATCCGAGGACCAAAAAAAGCCAAACCAAAACCCCCACAGCGGTAACAAGGTTTACTTATTCCATGATTCCCAGACCATGCTCATCACCATATTTTCTGAGGTTCCGGGAGTGCATTAAGCAAAGTGACTGGCAGCTGGTTCGTATTTGAAGAGACTGTGTTATGAATCAGTATTTAACATCCAGTTCAATGCAGCATTATGTTTAGCGAGGGGCTGTTGTGAGAGAAGTGCTGAAGCCTTTCAAAGTGTTTCCCCAAAAAATACTAGGAGGGAAGACATGGCCCTAGCGAAAAGCTTTGCTGATGTAGAACTGCCCAAATCCAGCCCTCTACCAGCACAGGGCGGAGCTTGTCAGTGTAACATTAATCTTTGCAATGTTTGTTGTCCTGGTCTGTCGTAATGGTTCTGACAGTAAAATTAAATGGCTTTCATCTCAGCTCTTCTCCTCCTATCCTAAACTTTATTTCTTTGTTCTCCTGCAGCCCAGTCATGGCTGGAGATTCTAGGATCTTCATGAACCAGGACATGGACATCGGAGTTACGTCCAGAGAGCCTAAAAAGATTCCCAAACAGGCCCGGGATGATGTTCCCATTGCCACTGACCGAACCCGCCTCATATCAGCAGAAGGCAAGAAGCCACGTCAGCGTTACATGGAGAAAAGTGGCAAGTGCAACGTGCACCATGGAAATGTCCAAGAAACCTATCGATACCTTAGTGACCTCTTCACTACGCTGGTGGACCTCAAGTGGCGTTTTAATCTTCTTGTCTTCACTATGGTCTATACCATCACTTGGTTGTTTTTTGGGTTCATATGGTGGCTCATTGCCTATATCCGGGGAGACCTGGACCATCTTGAAGATGAGAACTGGATCCCTTGTGTTGAAAATCTTAGTGGATTTGTTTCTGCGTTTCTGTTTTCTATAGAGACTGAGACAACAATTGGGTATGGCTATAGGGTCATAACAGAGAAGTGCCCAGAGGGCATCGTACTGCTCCTGATCCAGGCTATTCTGGGCTCCATTGTCAATGCGTTCATGGTGGGATGCATGTTTGTCAAGATCAGCCAACCAAAGAAGAGGGCTGAAACCCTTATGTTTTCTAACAATGCAGTGATTTCCATGAGGGATGAGAAGCTCTGTCTCATGTTCCGGGTTGGAGACCTCCGCAATTCCCACATTGTCGAGGCTTCCATTAGAGCCAAACTGATTAAGTCCAAACAGACCAAAGAAGGAGAGTTTATCCCCTTGAACCAAACAGACATCAACGTGGGATTTGACACTGGAGATGACAGATTGTTCCTGGTGTCACCTCTTATCATCTCGCATGAAATCAATGAGAAAAGCCCCTTCTGGGAGATGTCCCGCACGCAGCTGGAGAAGGAGGAGTTTGAAATTGTGGTCATCCTGGAAGGAATGGTGGAAGCAACAGGTAAGGACTTGTCAAACATCAGTCACAATTTTAAGTGGGGGGAAGGGGAAAAATGGAATGCAGTTTGGCATTAAGATTTTATTGTCAACGTCACCTGGATTGAGAACATGTTGGGATTTGTCCTTCTCTAGAGACTGGTCCAGGTGGGATATTGTGGTCTGAGATAACTAGCAATTAAAAGGTAGGTCCTTTAGTTCACGTTGTAGCATTTCACACTCTTTTTATAAGTCTGGGATTCAGACCAAGGAGTTAGTCAAGGAGCTGTCTGTAATCACTTAGAAATGATCCATGGGAAAAAGGAATGGACTAAAGGAATTCCTGAGGTCTCTTGCGGTCCTCTTCCTTGTGATCAAAACTCATGGTGCAAATCTTTTTCCATTTATCCTCTGTATTAAAAATTGGCTGTAACTGTGCTATTTTAGGTATTGCTGTAGTGTTGCTTTTTAATGGAGGCTATGAAGGAAGTGCCCGAGTATTACTATATCCCATAAAACAGCATGTGCTCAAACTGAATGACTTGCACGTGATGCAGGACATATATTTTCAAAAGGAGCTTGAAGGGGAAAAATACAGAAACTGCTTTTGTGACTCTTGCAACCCAGCAGCTGTTTAACAGCTTAAAACAATGCTGTGTAATAGGTAGATTAGGAGATATACTCAGCTGATTCCCAATTTCCTCCTATGGGTGTATTTGTGGCAGGCGATGAAAGAAGTCTGTGCCTACATATAATAAATCTGGAAAAGTTGTGTGCCTCAGCTTTCCAAAGCATAGAAAAGGGAGGTGGTGGTGTGCCTCTCCAGCTGAGCAAATGGGTGGCCACAGAGGCCTCGGGGCTCCTTCCCAAAGGTGGGGTGCATCTCCCAGGGCACGGGCTAGGGAGGAGGAGGAGGCTTTTACTCCGGAGTCTCACCGAAAAAACATGGCACCATGGGGTCATTTTACCACTTACAGCTAATTCATTTATTCTAGGCTTCGAGGAGGAGCTGGCAGGCTCTGTCTGCTGTGCTTCGAGCACTGCAAGTGTGTCCAAGCACCCCAAGATGCTGACGTTCCCTTCAGGCAGGCTTCCTGGTTGGCAGCATGCCTTGGTTGAAGCAGGCCCTTAAGGGGAACGGGGCTACAGGCAACACTGAGGAGAGAATTGCTATCTAGAGACGTGGAAACATAGAGTCAGAGATGCAAAAAAGTCTTTTGGAAGTAGTTTTGCCCTTTAGTGTTTAAGGATTTTAGTTATGAGATGGCACCGTGAACCCAAGCTTTTTCTGTTGGCGATGTTTGGATTTTTTTTTTCCATCTCGATGAGGCATGGGTTATCTCTGAAACACTAGCAAGGTTTTTCAGCTTGATATGAGTGCTCTGTGGTATCAGCACCCTGTCCCACAGATTTTGGGCCTTGCTCACTCTTAATACTGTCCTTGTTGGTCTCCTAAACAGCCAGATGCAAGGGGAAAATAGTCTCCCAAATTCCTGCATCCCAGGCCTTCCCTCTTAAAGCCAGCTGTCTAGAGAGCTAATTCAGTTTCCCAGTGTCTCCCCTTAGGCATTAGGTGAATAGCAATAGCTGAATTTTCTAAAGAGACCTAATGGGAGGTTATGTCTAGATGGGACTGTACCTAGGTTGGAGTACTGTATTGTGGAAGTGGAATTAATTTGGCATTACTCGGTAAATATTCTTTCCCAGCAGAGTATTGTAGAGATGTGGCAAAAGAAGGGGTGGGTGGAAAAGACTATCAAAGGCAAAGATTTGTAATGGAAGCTTATTTAGTAGCCTAAATATTTACTAGATACTAGAACCTCCTAATCTGATCATGGAATGCAGTTCCTTGTTCGCCCAAAGCCTCTTTGCTCATCACACAGTGACACTATCAAATTCTGTTTGAACAGTTAGTGCACTGCCTTCCTCTTAGGAAAGCTCAGCCTCCGCTAGATATGTGTGAGAGGAAGTCATTATCAATAACAACCTCAAAATTAAAAGCATGGCATAGGGATAGTATTGCTTTACAAATGGGCTGCTCTCCCAGAGGGATTGTACAGGCCACTGTGTAATGATATTAAGGAGCATGGATCTGTGGAAATGAATTATTCCGGTCTCAGGAGACAGGCTGTGAAATTCCAAAAACTGGAGCTAGAAGAGGCAGTTTGCATTGAACTTAGAGCAGAGTGGACCTCAGATGATGCCGTTATCTCGTTCAGAGGCTGAATGATGTGTGGTAACTGGGGGGTGTGCTACTTTCCACAATGAGAGTGGCTTGCAGAATCACAGTGTTTGTGCTTTCCTGCATTGTCCTCACACTTTCTAATGCTGATAAAGCAGTTTGGGGGATATTAATCCCTACCTCCATACCTTCAAATTTGCTCCAAGCAATTTCTTTAGGTCCTTTCCTTCCTATCACATTGTTCAAGCCCCATCTGCTTTCAAAAATGGTATAATTTACTTGCAGCGTGACTTGTATTAAATCATGACACTGTTAGAACCTGGTCAGGTTCAGGGCAGCATAAAAATGCAACAGACCATTTGTTCCCTCAGTAACCCCTGTGAAAAATCAGGAACCACCTTCGCAGTGTTCAGAGGTACAACTGGTCAGCTCTGTTCATGCCACACAAGAGGTGAGCAGGTTCTGCGTGCTGGCTCAGCTCTGCAGCCGTTGTCAGGAGTAAAAATTAATCTAAACTTATTCAACAGCAAATCACACTGTGAGTGAATCCTGAGTTAGGGGGGGAAAGGTCTGTTTTTTTCAAAAGGTATTTTGAAAGCAGGTCAAAATGGCGATTGTCAATATACGAATGACTTAAAAAATTTAAGTATAATGTCTTGGCTGAAAGTGTGAATATTTTCCACTGAAAAACTGGGACAGCAATTTTATAACTATTTCCAATAGTTTTAACCAACCATACACATATTACAAATGTCATGTGTCGTCTCCTCTCAAACACATAACTCTTCTTACTGACATTTAAGTATAATTCTGATCCAGTGGAAGGTAGAGGTGGTAAATAGGTTCAAATGAAAAGTATAGAATAAATTCTGAAGAGTTGAAACACTTCAAGTCACGTGTTTGGTTTTTTTTTTTTTTTTTTACAAAATGAAACACTGGTGTTTAACACAATGTTTTTGTTTTCAAGCTGACTTGAATTTCCTAAACACTTCAAGTTATTGTTTTTTATACAAAGTGAAGCACTGTGTTTTAAACCCATGTTTTTGTTTTCAAATTGCCTTGAATTTTTAAAAGTATAAATAACAACACACTGAAGAATAGCAACACACAAGCCTCAAATGCAATGTTTTTATTCTGCTGAAAAAATAAAATGTACGTGGTATTAATCTAGTGAGATCTCTCCAGGGACACACAGCTGCCCTACTAACTAACCCCTGAAGCCAGCTGCAGCAGAAAGCTCACTGACAGGGGTCTTCCCAATCGATATTTTAGGATGGTTGATGCACTGTGACTCCACAAGAGGTTAAAAATGCCAAAGGGAAACTAAGTTTCTGGGCAGATCTGTTGTGATCATTGCTGAGTGAAATGACCACTGTAAAGACAAAATCAATATAGATGACAAGTGCAAGTGCTCTGACTTCCAGTGCTGCTTTGTGGGCATCCTGAAAGCAGCAGCATCACTCACGGTGCCTACTTAATGAATTGGGCACAGAGATTACTTTAGGGAATTAATTCTCTTTTGCCTTATCTGAAAGGGACACTTGTCAAGATTAGCTGGCCCAAATTTGACCTGTAATAAATGGGAAGAAAGTGAAGGTGGAAAATGTTTTTGCAAAGCGAATAGATTTTTGTTTTCCCTGCCATTCTGCTTCCCACAGTGGCAACAAAAAATCAAGACCCATCCTGTTGGCTGTTGTTGGCCAAACCTCTTGCCCTTACCCTCCTGATCCCGAGCGGAATGCTGGAACGTAGACGAGTAGTGGAGATTCAGACCCCCCTTCCATATGCATGCAGAGTCAGCTGAGTTACGATGAAGAATTTGGCCAATTCAATTACAGAACTTTGGAGAGTCCAATTTTTTTTTTTTTTTTTTTCTGTAAGCCATCACTTCATGTGATGATGCAGTCTGCGTACCCTACGAGACTTTTTGGCAGATAATTTGAAGGGGCTCTCTTCCCTTCCAACTTTAGCCTTCCACTGCTATTTGCTGACAACCAAAACCTCATTTATCTGTAGCTGTCCTGCAAACCTCACTGTACCTACAGTGCCCAGCATTGTTATTGTCTGGGCATAGAGACAGCAGGGCTTGTTACTTTACTTCTGGTCCTCACTGGTTTTCATTACCTTTCTTCCCCAGCACCATTAAATAAGCCACAAGAGACAGTCCAGATTCCTGATTAGTCCACTCACTAAATGAAGTTTTAATAAACTTGTAGGAAAGGATAGGCATATATATTTCTGGCTTCGAGTCTGTGTGATAAAAAGGGGTTTAATGATTAGAAGTAATTTGCCTCATCCTGTCCCTGTGACAGTGCAGGCAAACTGCAGCTGTTTTGCACCTCAATTTATCCACCTTTACAGAGGACATAGTGGAATTTCCTGGCTGTAAATATAGGACCAAAAGAAGTAGTCACAAATTAACATGTCCTGAAATTAATCATGATTTCCATGGGAGAACAAAGGAAGGGTGAAATTACTAAATGGAGTTTTCATGCATTCATCATCTGGTTTGGGTTGTCTTGTTGTTCTGTTTTGCATTTTGCATATAAATAAGTTTTCTGCAAGAAGGACCTTGCAGAACCGTTACAGACACTGCTTATATAATTATAGGGAAGAGATAGGCGTCTCAAGTCATTCTTTTCATAGGCTGAATTGTCCTCCAGAGGTAGATGTTGGCAGGCTCGTCATCTTAGGTGCATCTGTAGTCACTATAAATATTGTGAGGGGCCTAAAGGTACATGGTATGAGCTTGGTGCTCAGGTTCTGCCCGGTATAGACATGGCAATTGAATTTAAGATCTTTAAATCATAAGGTCCTTTTTTTTTTTTTTTTTTGCATTTCCA